TCGCAGACTTTTAGATTTCATGGGTCGGCCTTGTAGATATTAGATAGATAGATGCAGATAGATTTTTGGCATTAAAACTACCGCTGATTATTACTGAAGTATCCGAATTATCATTTGTGCGCTTTTCTATGAACGTGAGTATTGGATCATTATCATTAGATGGTGAGCAGTACTCTTATAGTGCTGATAAGCACCATCTCTATGTGGACCACTTGCTCTGTCGGTGCAGTAAAGTAAAGAGTAAAGTATTCTGAGGGTAAGCAAGATGTTGTTCTCTTGTCTTATGAGTATCGCTTTTTTTTAGTATCTTTTGAGCAATAGTATTTACGATAGTTTATAGGGAAGTCATATAGTTTATTTTTAAATAAGTAAGGCTCTGGAATGCATGATATTTTGATATTATAACTTTCTTCTAATTTCTCTTCTAAATTTTCCGCTGCACCTCTTGAGTGCTGAGTATTGATTAGAATTAATTAGATTTTATCCATAATTGATGCTTGCTGAAATAGGCTTTATCTCCCCTTATATAACGTTTACATTGTTTACTCCTAGTTATCGTGATACAGAATGTATCCTCTTCTAAGTCTTTTGTTTGCTTTTGTGCAGTTTACGCACTTCTTATGTTATATAAATATTATATAAAATGTTTGCATGTAAAAATCTGCTCCTGTTATAGTTATCTGCAGTATGTTGCCTTTGAAAAACTGTCCGAGAAGTCGTGCAGTTAATATCAAATGGTTTTAATTCTTGGATGACCGTAAACTGGTGGTCGTCAAACTTAAAATTTTGAGGAATTTGGAACCTTTTTGACAATCTAGAGATTATACACTGAGGCGTATACGACGCTCTGGAAGCCTCTTTTTCGATGCACATTCTAGTATTTTTATTTCCTTTTAAAAATATCAACTCGGCGTCTTTGCGCCATAACCATTTTCTTCTCTTCAATGATAACGGAACCAACTTTTTACAAGAGTTAGAAAAATTGGATAAAGGAATGCACGCTATGGGTCAACTTTATTTGTCGGGTTTGTAGCATGCATGACTTATTTGCGCATATACCGGCAGTTGGAAACTTTTGCAAGAGCGGTTTATTTAAGGTATAAGGTTATCCACATGCATATTTCTGACGTTCCGCTAGCATTAACTCTTTGTTTTGTTTGTTTTAATCAGAAATGCTTAATTTTTGGGTACAAGCGTTTTGTAGGTAACATTCTTACCTGGAAAGAAGAACCCAATATTAACGTTTTTACCCCTGGTTTCCTGATAGTTTATTTTCTGCAAATGGGGCCTGTCCATAGTTTGCTTAACGGAATTTTATAGGGCATATATTAGAGGGCAGTAAACTATATGCAGTTCGTAAATCACCATTTAATGTATGAACACTGGAATCGATCGAAAAGACTTACTTGCCATATGATTATATATCATTCAGGAGATCGTTGCGAAACAGTGTCAACAAACGTTCTGTTTATCACGGGAGATCTGACAGCGAAATCGCTGAGCTCTCACGATTTTGATTTTTATTTACGTATACTTTGCATATAAGTTTCATAATTTCTTTTAATTAGTTTCTTATCAAGATATTTTAAAAATACAATCGCTTAAAATTTGTAAAAGTATGAAATATCTGTTTAAACATAATGACTTAAACGTACTACTTGGATCGTGAATTGGCCCTAATTTGGAAAATTTTTTTCAAATTCAAGGACGCCGTGGCCAAGAAACTTCTTTCCCGTTAGTTTGTTACAAAACTTTGAGTAAGAAGAATTTTTTGTTGGAATTTCCGTCTGCGCTTTGCAAGACAGAACTTTTTTGTCTGTTGACAGTTTATTGGATTTTGTCTCTTTCTAAATTCTTGCATTTGAATGTTTGCCATTGAGAATTTAATGTTTTTAACGTTTAAAAGTAAATTTTTTAAGAGACATCTAGTTAAATTGATCGCTTTTATTACATCGTATCTTTAGAGTTACAATAATATAACTGCCAACAATATCGATCCATTGATAAATATAGCACAGGCGAGACTGACTGTGATATTGCGCAAAAATGCAGGAATTTAGGACCTACAAACGCAAACTGCTATGTTGCGCAAGTTGCTTAATTTCGAATAATTGTTTAAGAATAAAGCTAGCAGAAGGTATGATTCATCGTCTGTGTATTATACCATATACTAGCACAGCGAACACTTTAAAGAAATGAACAGACTTCAGTGGGGAACTCTTATCTGGCTAGTTATTGTGTTAATGCGGTTGAATTCCCTTAATGTATTTGCCTCTTATTGTATGGAATTTTATTATTTTATGTTCTATTGTATTTTATCTTGTTTCATTCCTTTGTTATTACGTGCATTTAGAATGTTCTGCACAAATTGTTAAAGCGGGGCATGCTGTGTATACATATTCTTAGAACATACTTTCCAACGTAGTACGCTGGTACACGTTTCCAGTATGCGTTATAAAGTACACATTACGTGTTGTATTTAAAACAATTATCTTATCTTTCAAACAGCCATCAAATTAATCATTTTGGATAAATCTCTTGGTCAATAACTTTCGGTGTTTTTTTTTTTTTTTTTTTTTTTTTTTTTTTTTTTTTTTTTACCGTATGAGCTACAGGAAACTCATTCATTACAAAACATGCATACATATTTTTAAATATCTTACAGAAATAGTGTAAATAAATTAGGTAAAATTATTGATTAAATGATTTGCTAAATTTCTCCCCCCCCCAAAAAATACTTGACGCTTCTCATAAAAATCTAAAATAACATGCTCACGGATTTATGTTAAAACCAGTACCCAATGATGTAATTATTTATGTTAAATAATTTCAATTGGAAGCAAAACCTGCTCATAATTTAATGCACGAACAATGTAAATTAGGCGATTAACAACGGGTTGTGCATATTTGAATTCGGGTGTAAACATTGTTTCAAATTAAGCTGGTTTTTGAGAGTGATCAATATTCATTAATTATAACTAAAAGGCATCATTTAAGGTACAGGCAAAGGTGGTGGATAATTGGAGGACACGACAATTCGAAAGCTAAGAATTATAACAAAATTAAATCTTCGCAGTTGTCAGGAAGCACGGATACAAACCTTCTAGACAAATAAAAATTTTAAATTCAAATTATCGCGCTCTTAAATAAGTTCTTAAATAAGTTAAATAAGGCGTAGAGTTCTAAGCCTTAGTTCTAAGAGCAAAGCATATGCTTATTGCTGAAGCTAAAGCCGATAAATCAATTCAAGCAGAAGTGAAGGCTACAAAATAATGGTGAACAAAGCTGTCAAAAACTCTACCTCAAGCTCAAGAACTCTGCGCTTTAAATAATTATCTTTTTGGTGGGCGTCCGCGAAAGCAGAAGTTATAGTAAAATTCAAATAATACGATAATTGGGTTAATCAACATAAATCCTTATAGTCGCACTTCCAGAGATTAAATACCTCGAAAACAAATGTTTAATAACTTCGGTAGAGAATTCTAAATTTAAGTAGAGCGAAAGCTTGGGCAGAAGTTTCTAAATTTTTGAAATTTCACCCTCTAGCCATTGTGTTTGTGGCTTAGGATTATTTTTCAGCTTTCCTGGAAGAAAATCAAAACAGTTTAGTAGGGTATACAACGATTTTAACAAACTTAGATGTTATGCATTTCACTTTTACTTCAACATTTATATTTTACATAAAAATTTTTATTGGCTCATACATTGTTTTCAACTCTCCAGCTAAATGTGTGCGTGAGATAATTGTGTTGTAGTATTCTCCACTGTGTAATTTTAAGTTGCTGTTGAAAGTGAAGAATCTTAAGAACTGCTAGTACTTTTTTTTAATTGCAATTGGTTTTGATTCATCTGTTTCTATCCTTCTGTCTCTTCTTTCGTACGTTTCGTTCCATAATGCTTGTTTTTCTTCCTTTGGATTACATACAGAGTTCAGTTTGCTAAGCTTTCGTTTAAAAATTATACTCAACTTCCATGTTAAGTGAAGGTTTGAAATAAATGGTACTGGAAAAATGGGTTTTCTAACACAGACTTAGAGAATTATGTGGAAATTTCTCATTGACAGCAGAAGTGAATGAAATTTAAGGTTACAACTTACAAATCAAATAATAATAATAAATACTCAAATACCATGTTAATGTATATGTCAGGCTTAGAGAAAATTTCGAAGCAATAAATTCTAATGCCTTTTTCTTTTTTCCCCCCCGCCTATTGAAAGTGAAAAAAAGACCGGACAAAATTAGGCAAATAATTTCTTCTTGGCTTCTTTCACAATGCAGAATGAAATCTTACGAACAATAGTAAGCAGTTGAAGAAATTCAGCCTAAAACTTAGCTGCGGACACTAGCTAAACCGTGTGAATAACGCAGAAGCTGGATAAATATAGTACAAACACAGAGTAAACACAAAAAAATTGGTTGAGATATGAAGAATAATATTAATTTGCTTCTATAAATTTCAAAAAGAGGAAAGGACTCAGTGGCGTAGCGAGGGGGGGGGCAAGGGGGTGTATGATGCCCCGGGCGCCGCTTGCAGAGGGGCGCCAAATGGTCTCCAAACAAGATTTTCATCATATCACTGTGTTTTTTTTTTTCGGGAGAGGGGGACGCCAGTTATGCTCGCTACGCCACTGAAAGGACTGCATTAACTGAGCCTGAATACCTGTATTTGAAGAGTATTTAGTTTTAATAACATCGAAAAAATTTTATCGATGTTTTGCTTTCATACGAAAATTAAAACCGAACTATGACTGATGTGAAAATTTAAGGTAGAGTATAAATACAAGAGAATAACTATGATCCATCTCTTTCATAGTACTGACCATGGCAAATAATGATCTATAAAATTTTAACCTAAATTATGCTTTGAACTGGTGATTTTGAGTGCCAGACTAACTTATCTCATCGATAATAATCAAATGTAATAATATATCCTGTTACTTTGCTTAAGTGAATCTTCTCATATATTTATTACATTTCATTGTAACCTCGTTTGGGTTTCAGATTTGAAAGAAATAAAACGCAAGTGGGACGAATGCTGCAAAACTAATATATGCATTCATAATTCTTGTTATTCGATGGAATGGAGAGCTTCTGGATGGTCTGTTGTAAGGCAACGATGTCAGGGTCGATATCCAGACTGGCCTTATGCGGTTGATATCTTTCGCCTTCAAAATGAAGCCGATGTAGAAATTCTTTCAGAGATGCTCAAAGACCCACCACCTCATATGGCAGATAAGACACGTAAGTATGTACTTACTTCTTAATAAGACTTTAGAACAATGGATTCTATTTGTGGTCAAGTCTTCGTAATTACAGTCGAACCTTGCTAAAACGAACTTCAATGGCCCGATAGTTTAGTTCGCTACAACCAATGTTTGTCTATATCCATTCCTATAAAAAAAATGTATTGTCTTATAAAAACGTGTAAAAACTCAGTGATGAATTACCAATAAAATTTATCACGGTCACATCTACCTACGGAAGTGATTGATAAATCTAAATAAAAACCATATTAAGATTTAATCACAAATACGTCAGTTATCAAATTTGTTATTCTTTATTTTCGAGTTTACGATGCGTTAGTAAATTTACAGGATAATTTACATAGCATAAATATCATCATTTTGATTCTTCTGTAATAAAAACGTAAAACTGCAAAAAATAAATAACATAAAAAATTTATGAATTTACTATCTTTAACTTTTACTTAACTTTTGAGTACAAAAGTAATCTGTAATTTCCGGCTGGCTTACTGCAGATTTTAGAAAACTTTTATCCATATTTTCGCCCCAAAACTAAAAGGATTCCATGATTTACATTTATATAGTTGTACGAATGTAGTTTTATTAATGACACGTATCACAGTTTGGCACCCGCTGTGTAAGGGAGTTCATTTTACGTATGTTGCTTTTCCTCAATATTTTCATCAGCACAGAAGAAAAATCTTCGATATCAGCATTTCACATTTCAGTATCTCTCACAGTATCTTCATCACTGGGATCTTTACGTGGAACAACATTATCATCGTGCGATTGAGAAAACTATATATCACATTCTGAAAATATTGAAACGCCGTTTTTTAGCCTCTCATTGATAGCCAAATTCTGGTTTACATCATCTTTATGTATATATATTTATGTGTATAGCATAGTTATCCGTTAAGTGTAGAATATTTCGTTTTTGGCCCAAAGTTCTTCATCCCAATCTTCTTAAAATAATTTTCAATAGTCATGCTCACCATATGATGTCCTAAGATATGCTTATTGGGTCCTCTTTCTTCTAGAATTAGGTTTACACCTGTCTTGCAGTTTCTTTTTTAAAACACAGAGAAGAGTATGGGTGAAGACAAAAGAAAAGGAGCGTAAAGGTGTTTTTTCCTCTAGGAATGGGAATCCTAATATACTAAACATGGACAGTTTTGAGGGTTACTAATTGTTTGGTTAAAACATGCAAAAAATATTGGAAAAATATGAAAAATGAAAATAAATTCAATTGAAGATATCCACACATTTTCTTGTATCCGATTTTCATATCTTTGGAAATGCGCTATAACAGCATAAAATAACGTTAAGTGTATAGGATATTGAACGGGATTAAAAGATTCGCTTGATATCTGAAGATTCGTTATAAGCCGAGTTCGCTTCAGCAGGGTGCGACTGCAGTAATAAAATAAGAGTACGATTTTACAGATAATCCTGCTTATTTCTGCATATTAAGCATTTGAATACTTGTGCATATTGTTTGGGCGTAATACTGTAACATTATCTTCCGCATCTTGTGAATATTTGATTTAGTTTCTTGCTTCATATTAATAATAATTAATTTCAAACAGTTGCTGTCCGCTTTTTCGTGTTATTGTTGTCTTGTCCATATTACGTACATGGAACAATGGCTGCGAGAGCCTACTCCAAAGAGAGGTTGGACTTCTAGTTTCCACCCCGAATTTTGAGGGAGAGCACCCCCGGGGGGGATCCGGGTGTCTTCCGCTTTTCATTAAAAGTATAATTGAAAAAGCCTGCATAGATGTATTTCATCAATACAATTATAGTAGTTCATTTCTTAACAATAAAAGAAAACGAAATTCCCACTAACAACTTTGTATTCTCTCTGCGCATAATATGAGTTTGAAGTTTTCTGTGCATTAATAGAGATTCTGTTTAAGGTAGTACTTCTTAAAAAATCATAATTTCTTAACATTTGCAATTATTTATTTATTAGGTGATGCATTTATCATCTGCCTGCGAAATTAGCATATTTTTTCATTACCCGTTCTGTTCTGCTATAGATTCTATAAATTCTACTTCATTCCATTGATTTCTTTTCTTTTGTGTGATTAGGTGAATTACCCATTTTCATTACTTTTTTCTGATGCTTAAAGTATGCTAAATTTAAGTAAATGTAACGCTTAAAGAATGCATTAATAGTGACTTGGTGACTTAATAGTGATAGATAGTACTTCTTAAAAATCGTAATTTCTTCCTTAACATTTGCAGTTATTTATTTATTAGGTGATGCATTTATCATCTGCATGGCAAATTGGAAAACTCCTTCATTACCTGTTCTATTCTGATATAGATTATATAGATTCTACTTCATTCCATTGATCTTTTCCTTTTGTCTGCTTAGGTAAATTACCCATTTTCATTACTTTTTCCTGTTGCTTAAAGTATGCTAAATTTACATTTTGCAAATGATTAATGCACGTCTAGTCATAAACTGACGATTGAGCAACTGGGAAATGCAGTTTTATCATTAACATTTTATCTAAGTACACTTCGATTTCAAAGTTCCTATGTCTGTTAAAAAGTTATTTTGAAATTGAGTAATATTTTTACTTTAATTTAATGAAATATTTCCAGGAATGAAATGCAAATTTGCTTCGGAATTGGTTGCCCTTTCAATTACTACCACGTAATTCCTTGCTTTCAATTAAGCTTTATTTCTAATTTATACGTATTTGTAATCTGAAAACATAACTTGTTTTCCTTGCATGCCGCATCGCAGAAATTTACAGCTTAATGAATGCATTGTTTAAAATTAAAATCGTTTACTTATGATTTCACTTAAAGTTCGTTTAGTTTTAGAAATTCATCCAGATATAAATCAGAAGCACAGCTTCTTTAATAATTCTTTTGGCTATTGCATGAAAAAGGCCATAAGGATTATCAACTTATTTTTGCTTCTGTTTTAATTATGCACTAACTGCCTTCCAATTTTACATTTACTTAGAGAACTGATTTCCTAATATAACAATTATATATTCTTTAGCTTTTTTTATATTAGACAACCTACAGTTATTTTTAGATTAAATTTAAGTTTGTTCTCTGGTACATATTTACATGTATGCTCCAGAAGTGACTGATGTTCCAGAAGTCATAGGCATAGCAGAACATGATTTACAGAGTGACGGAGCTGGATGCATTAAAGATGTTAACAGTCATGCCTATTTAATACTTCTTTATTCTTGAGAAGTAGACTCTTGTCTTGAATTACTCAGTGCAATGGGCGAAATCTGTGCATCCGAGTTTTTTTCACTTTTGTGTCTTTTCTTTATCTCCAGAACAATTAAATCTGAGAAAGTAAAGGAAATGCAGCAGCCAAAAGCAAGTAAGTTGGCAAGACGGAAGCAAGAGAGAGAGAATGCCACGAGTCTAAAGGCCGAAGAGACAAAGTTGCTGACATGTCGTCTGACGGTATTTTGTCTACACAAGGAGATTTTGTATCTAAGTTCTACTGAGCTACTAAGCCAATCAGAATAGTCAAAGCTGGCGACGTGATTTACATCCAGTATTAGACCTCCCTCTGTCTCACAAAAAGTATAATAATTTGCAAAGTTTCAGCACCTTTATTTTTCAGATCGTAATTTTTAAAATAAATCGCAGTAATATGAATAGAAATAATAAGCATGAGGCTTCACAACAGAAAGTACACACAGTGATTAAAAAGGACAATAAAAATGGAAAATGGAAAAAATAAATATAAATTGTACATTAAAAAATTAAAATTAAGGAAGCGGAAAAGGGAAACAATGAATTGTGAAATGTTTTGCATGTCTTATTGTTATTATCCACTTACATAAGAAAATAAAATAAATCGATTACTTCACATGCAGCATAAAATATAATACACATTGCAGGTAATTAAGTTCATAATAAAGCATCATTTTAAGTACTGGAAGAAGAAAAACAAATTATATCACTTTAAGATAAAAATATAATATTATATTTATGTCTAATATAAAATATCATGTAAATAGCTAACTGATACAAATTTTATGCTTAAAAATAACGCAATATTGAGGTTATATATTATTGAATAAAAAAAATAAATTTATATGTACTGCAAGTAATATTTTTATTTTTTTATTAACAGAGCTTTGTTAATTACAGACTTATAAAAACAAAACAAAAAATATCTTCAGTGGGAAAAAAAATCAGAAAATAGCTCAGCCGAATTTGAACTCACAATATTCTGGTTCACGAAAAATTTAAACATTTCGAAAAAAGCGCCAAGCGATCAACCTAGAGTAAATCTTCAAAAATCATTGACAATAGAAAATCGGAAATATAATCAAATGCAAATAGACATTTTCTTGCATGTTATATTTCTCAGAACATCAGAATATAGTAGTCCCTTAAACAGAAAAAACGTATTTTATCAGATTTAGTTAATGCCAGTACAGGAGGTAAAAAAAAATTGCACCGCTCTATATCAGGGGTGGGCAAACTTTTCCATCGTACGGTCTAATTCTAATTTTTTTAAGGTGTTGCGGTCCACCCAGTAGTCTAGATGTGGTGAGTTAAAAAAAAAAAAAGCCTACAATATTTATTGTAACATAATGAGGAATACGGAATATGTACTTACCTACCTAACCTTAAAAAAAAAAAAAAAAAAAAAAAAAAAACACTTAGTCTTTTTAAAACCACGTTTAAAGCTAAAAACGCAAGATACAAACATGATAATAATAGCAACTAAAGTAATAATTTCAAATGATGCATTTCTTATCAAACAATTCAAAATACATTAAAAAAATGTAAAAAAGCGAAAAAAAAGTGTGAAAGCTTTCAGATTTTACATTCTGCCCAAAGCGGCGTTTTTTTTAACGTTTTTGTGGGTTATCTTCGCACTTAAACCATAAAATTGAGTTCAACAGCAATATCCCAAAATAATTTTAAATTGAGGATGCCTTTAGAATTTCCGATACACAGTCTCGCGTGCTGGAGATTTTTTTTTTTTTTTCT